GAATCAATGAGTTATTTCAGTTTGAAATCAGATCACAAGTAACTTTAATTATTGATTACAGGATTAGACAGCTTTCTAATAATCGAATACCAAGGTTGTACATTGGGAAAACTTGATATAAGGTCTAAAATGGTACTACATCAAGGGAGTAAGGGGTAGCACTAAAATTCATTGAAAGTAAGAGGCAGGATAATCCATACCCTCCTTATAAGCAGTACTGGAGAACAACTGATTAAGATCTTTAAACAACCTGAATATCATAATGGGTGGATATCACTGGCCAGGCCTAACCATTAATATTTAGTTTTTAGTACTAGGGATTAAACCTAGGACTTTGGCACTGAGCTACATCCCCAACCACCTTGTTAATTTTGAGACAGGATCTTTCTAAGTTGTTTAAGTTGCCCAGGTTGGACTCAAGCTTATGAGCCTTGCTCCTCAGTAATATTTAAATGTTGTAAGAGATGTATCTGTAAACTGAGAGATCTTTTCTTTTACTTTTTAAAAATGTTATTTTCTCTTTTTTAGTCATGCATGATACATATATTTCTGTGTTGGGTTTAAAAGGTTATAAAAGGTTTAAAAGGTTTAAAAGGTTCAAGAGTTTTTCTCTTTTTTAGTCATGCCTGATACATATATTTCTGTGGTGGGTTTAAAAGGTTATATTTGAGCTACTAAAACAAGTGAACTCAAGATTTACCTTTACCTAGTAAACAGTTGATGGCTCTTCTTAAACTGAACATGGGGTTTTATCTATTTTACCATCTCTCTAAAATTAACATTTCTTGCTTCAGACAAAATACACTTCTCTTACAAAATTGAGATACTCACATTAAGATGGTCAGTGCTATAAAGAGATTATCAGCAAAAAAGTAAATTTACAGCTGATCAGGCATTCTGTTGAAGTCACATACCGTCTCCCATTTTGGATGCCTTTGACCCCGCCCAAGGGCTGGTTCAGCATTCTGAAGAAGCTCCTCTGAAGGGAGATGTATGAGGTGTGACAGAAATCTATAGTTCATGTTTACATTTTAAAAACTGCACAGTAAAAGACGCATTGCCACTAACCTCCCTCAGGATTCTCCCCATCACTTCAAACCACATTCCGTTGTTCTTGCCACTTTCTGAAGCAGTTCTGGAAGTCCTCTTTAGCAAGTATCTTTAGTTGTGGTGCCCTGGCTGCCTCAATGTCCTGAAATGATTCAAAACACCTACCTTTCATGGTCATTTTGACTTTGGGGAAGATCCAGAAGTTACATGGTACAAGATCTGGTGAATAAGGTGGATGAAGACATACAAGAACCTTCTTACGAACCTGCCTTTGTACTGGAGGGTGCTCAACAACAGCACTCACCATGTTTTTGATCACACTTCGTAAAGATATGAGACAGAGGACTTGAGAACTGCTCCTGAAAGTGGCAAGAGCAATGGGACAAACATATTCCAAGTGAGGGGGAGTATTTTGACAGGGATTAATGACAGTGTGCCTTGCACTGTAATAAATTTTAAAAATTTAAACATTCATCACATATTTTGACCATGTCTTGAATTAGATTTTTACAGTTACTATAACAAACTACTATACACTTAATGGATTAAAACAACACACAGTTATTCTCTTACAGTTTTAGAAGCCAGAAGCCCAAATCTGTTTCCCTGGGTTAAAGTCAAAGTATCAGCAGGGTTGGTCCCTCTAGAGGTGGTGAGGCCAGTGTGTTGCCTTACTGCCTCCAGTTTGTAGTTTCTATCTCTTGACTCATGGCCACTTTCTCCATCTTCAAAGTCAGAGGCCTAACATCTCCCATTTTTCTTTGGTCACACTGCCACCGTGGTAGTCGATATCCCCTCCATCTCCCTTTCACCAGCATCCTTGTGTTCACACTGGGCTCACTGGAGTAATCTGAGATCCTCTCCCCATATCAAGATCCTTAGTGTCACCACAGCTGCAAGTCTACTTTGCCATATAAGGTGGCATTCACGCACTCCAAGGATTGAGAGATGGACATGTTTTGGGGGCCATTATTCATTCTACTACAGGTGATATACTTGGGGAAGTTAGGTTGGGGCCAAGGTTGGGAAGGCTCACAGGAGACACTTTCAGATAGTAGCAGCATTTCTGTGGTAATGTTCACTATGCACCTACCATGGCAACCTTTTGGGCCCTCTACACGCATCAATTCATTTAATTTATTGTCCAAGAATAGGGCAGGAATGCCTTGGTACCCACTGAAAGGACTGCTGCAGAAGCTCCCAGCACATTTGATCACTGCCATGCCCTAGGCCACTCAACCGAAATAGCAGAGCTGGGATTTATGCCCACAGAATCTGTCTTCACCGACTACAAGGTTAACCACTCTCCTGTAATGCAGTTTCTGCTGCAAAGAGACATTGACAGGCAGTGGATCTTCATCTGAGGGCATGAAGAGACTTTGGACTATAGGGGTTATGAAGAGTTTTTTTTTTTTTTTTTTTTCATCTCATGTCAAAATTGAGAAATCCAAGGTCTACCTTGACATTACGAAATAAATTGAAACTGAGAAATTAAATGACTCACTCAAGGCTATGTAACAGAGATGGCAAAGCCCTTGGTGGCATATTGTGGTTCTCTCCTACTGTAGTCTAAAAACCCTCCACAACGTGACATCATAGGTTGAATTGTGTCCCCTTAAAATTCCTATGGTAAAGTCCCAACCTCAGAGGGTGGCCATATTTGGAGACAGGCTCTTTAAAGAGGTAATTAAAGCTAAGTGAGTCTTAGGGGAGGGCTCTAATCCAATATAGCGGGTGTCCTATAAAAAGAGTGGTCAGGGATGGGCATGCACGGAAGAAAGGCCATGTGAGGTCACAGTGATAGGCAGCCATATGCAAGCCAAGGAGAGCTTCCAGATGAGACCAGTCTTGGTGACACCTTGATCTGGGTCCTGTAGACTCCAAAATGGTGAGAAAATAATGTCGGTTGTTTAAACTGGACAATCTGTGGTATTTTCTTACTGCAGACCTAGGAAAGTAATCCACCTCAGATGAATTATGGGCTGCTTGGGGAGGAGTCAGCTAGCCCATGATCGAGATTCCTGGTGTTTCCTAGAGGAAGCTATAAACTTTCTTAAATAATTTTCAATATTCATAAAAACCTAAGGAAGGTGCACAAAAATATGGTCTAACAAAAACTTCAAGTTTCATTTTTTTTTTCCTTCTAAGTAGAATTACATCAAATCAATACAGTAGCACAAGCTATCTCACATTAATCTGAAAGGTTAATTAGCCATTTGTGATTTTGATCAATTAAAACATATGGAAATTATTTATCACTTAATAATAGAATTGATTTTTCTGGTAAATAAAAACTCAGGCGTTCTGATAAAGAGCAATTTGAGTAGGAACCACTGATCTAAGCCCCTAATTTCTTTATTTGAATCTTCCAAGACCCATGCTGCTTAATCCCCTTCAAGTTTTTGGAGCTCTTTGGGTGGAATACTGAGCAGATTACACAGCCTTAGTCCTTTGTCACACAAGTGGTGTTGAGAGCCATTGTTTTCAAACCTGGGAGTGTTGCTGACATTTGCTGAATGCTGTGTTTAGTTATTTTCCTGAAAGTCAACAAAATATGAAAATAGCCTCATAAAACAAGTGACTAGATCTAGCTCTTGAACCTAACAGAAGCAAAATTAAAAAACCAAGGCTCTGCGTACAACTACTAGGGTGTTAAGCGACTCAGTGAAATGTATGTGAAAGTTTGGAAAACAGTACTGCAAGCAGAACTGTACGCTTCATTTTAAAAATAACAGCAAATGTATGAAGAACAGAAAATTCTATTAAGAAGAGATTTTTATTAAATGCTTCATAGTAAAATATTGAGCCCACTCTATTACAATATACAGGCTTGATGTTCTAATAAGTAGCACAGCAGCTGAGGGAAGCTCACGTTGGCATCACAGGGTGGAGCTGTGGGGAGCTTCATGTGCAAACGCATCTGCCTTCTGCTTTCCCACCAATGCAATACTGAAGGTCAGAGATGTTTAGGCCTCGGGAAAAACCTGTAATATTTCCTGAGTAATACGCTCAACAATTCTTAAAAATATGTTAGCTTAATGGAAAACATGAAAGATTCTAATGGATGTATCCATTTTAGTATTTAGCATCTTTAATAACTGAAAACTACAATTCTAAGTTTCATTACACCACAAGTCTTTGGGGTGGACAGAAGGCTTTCTAGCACAAGGTTAGTTTCAAGGCGATAGATCAAGGACTACATTTTCTGGTGGTATGGAAGATAAAAGGAAACGTCAAGGTTAGCCCGCTATTTTCCAAATAACAGGATCTAAGCATATTGCGGGAGATTAAAGATGTGGGCATGAGTGGATATTGCATGGTAACAGATGGCTGGAAAAAAGTATTGAAATTAACTACGATTAACCAGCACAAAATGGGTCTTCACCCATTAGTCAACATTTTCTTCCAGTACATAATGACTTTAAGATAGCATTTCTACAAACTACACTGGCTCATTCATTTTAAGTCAGTATGCAAACAATTTATAATTCTGAATATCTAAAGTTATTTAATGGATTTTTAAAAATATTTATCCATTAAGTATGTCTGGCTTTCTCAGCCGTGGTTCTTGAATACATAATTTCTTGATAAAAACATCACTAAAACAAAACTCATTTTGAAAAAATACTATCTACCTGGAGCTCATAGTAACAGCCACAACCAACTTACCCAATCCTTACAACTGCGCTCACATACAACTAAACCAATTTGGCCAATTCACATGATCTGATATTTTTCCTTCACAGTAATGTAACCAATTCAATAGTAAAGCAATTATTCACAAAATTGCATTTTAAGAACTGCATTAATTTTTTAAAGTATTTCCTATGCAGTTTGGTTTTTGTTCATGAACTCTTTGCCTACCCTTATGTCTTCAAGATTTCTAACTACTTTCTCTTCCAATAGATTTGTTGTTTCTGTTCTAATATTTAGATCTTTGATCCATTTTGACATTTCTGTTATTTTTTTATTCTCTTTAAAATAGAAAAAGAATTGCTTTAATACTCATTTATAAATATATATTGAGTACTGGGCCTGAATTTGGTACATCTAGTCTACACTGTGATACTCTGTGTTTTCCCTACTGAATCTTTCTCTCACTATGACAATGAACAGGAGAACTTAAAAGTAAAGCAAAGTTTTAACTGCAATGCAAACAGTTTTGTATTCATATCAAAAAAAGAGATCATGCTTTCCAAAGGTGGAAAAATAAAACCACATCCTAAACATACAACCATCTTCATTACAGAACAAAGCAGCCAGCTCTAGTACACCAGAAAACATTTGTGTTAGAAAGGTTACAACCAATGGTTTAAGAAGGAAGCTCTAGGGGCTGGGGATTTAGCTCAACGGCAAAGCGCCTGCCTGGCAAGCACAAGGTCATAAGTTCGGTTCCCGGTACCGGAGAAAAACCAAAAAAAAAAAATAAGAAGGAAGCTCTGGTGAAAATAGTTTTAAAATGTATACCCTTGGAAAACGATATTTTCTAAACATTAAAACCTTGTTTCAGAAGTTCCTCGCTTTAGATTGTTACTCAAAAACTCATCATGTTCAAAACTCAAGTTATTATGCGATCTCGAAATCATAAGAAGCTTCTCCTTATGGGTAAAGTCTTTTTTGATTGCTGCTTGGGGCACAAGCAGCCTATCCATTGGGTCCTCTTTGTTCTCCAGTTTCATGTATCCCTTGCTGTTGCTCCGGTCCAGCCGAGGCCAGCTGGGATGTTTTCGTTGTTCAGCCTGAACGGTTAGAGTGGAGGACCGGTCTAAGTCTAGGGATTTGGAGTGTGAGGAGAGCAAATGCAAGGAAGTGTTGGACCCAAACTGTCTTCTAGCAGCCCCAGGTGACAAGAGCTGTCCAGCCCGAGGTCCAAGGGCCACAGAGGACTTGTACTGACTGGACAGCGACTCCCCAATGGAATTATTCCTTGGGAGCCCCATGCTGACAGGCTGAAAGGATTCACCCATGTTGGGCTGAGGAACCACAAGGGAATCCATTGACAAATTCCTCGACCTGCCCTTGGGGTTATCAGCATCCTCGGTGATGTTATCTATACTGGGCTCATCAATGACACAGTTATTGAGTTTGATGACAGGCAGTGTAAAAGCACTGATAGAGGATGACACAATTGACTTGGTTTCGCATTTCTTAGAGCCACTGGTCTTATCGTCAGCTGTCTTGGAAGGAGTTGGATAAAGGCCAAAGACAGAGACAGAGCTGTCAGAGAGCAGAGGGGGCATGAGATGGCCCAAACTCTTACTTTCGCTGAGCATGAGTTCATCCTCTTCCACAGAGCTGTCCATCCGAAAGCTGCCCCGCAAACCCGAGAAAGGGGTGACTGTGTTTGCTGCCAGTCTGGAAGCGCAGGAGCTCCCGTTCTGCTTCACTTCCGGTTCCCCCATCAAGCCAGAGTACACGCCATTCAGATGCTTCTGCTCCTTGATCCTCAGCGTGTGGATATCAATGACTGTGGAATAGATGTCCCTCATGTGTATGATTTTGGTTTCCTTGTCGCGGTTTTCATGCAGAATGGCATTCGCACAGATAAAAATGAAAATGCCAATCCCCATGGTGAAAGGGCCGAGCATTTTCATCTTATCAGAATGCAAATGCTGCTCAAAGAAGCGAACCACCACTCCGCCCTGGTTCCGGATGACCTGAGTTTCATTGGTTGACAGCGTTGTTTCAGCATCGATGAAATGTTCTTTCTGCGGCCAGTACCCAAGGACGGCCATTGCTATCCCTATGATGGAGATAAGCACTCCTAAAATGAGGAAGAAACCAGATGGAGAATAAAGCCGGATCTTGCCACGAACGATCACCACATCAGCCCGGGGCCGCCTCCTGATGGGTTTCTTCTCCTCGGTGGCAGGTGAGGGGCTGAGGTTGACCTGGTGCTGGGATCGGGCAGAGTCTTGTCTTTTCAGGGCCGCCAGGCCAGTGATCACTCCGCCAGTGGCTATCATAGCTCGGCCTTTGCTCTGAAAACAAAGAAGATGGGTGATGATCAGAATATGGCCCGGGGGTAGACTCATGGTTCAGTTCAAGAACTACTTACACGGGATTTCTGTTGCTATTGTTTCATGTGATTAAATGGGACAGAAAAATATCTCTTTCAGAGACACAGCTCTGATAGACATTTTGTTAATGGACTACTGTAAAATTCTGGAGAGTTCATTGTTTGGCTGAATGAAGTGTTCCTAGTATTGATGAAATGTGAGCTCAAGGTATATTTTGTTTAAATAATTTTATCACATTATATAAAGTAGTGGCCTAGTCACAAGTCTATCTCTCTTTCTCTGTCTTGTCACACACACACACACACACACACACACACACACACACACACCATAATCATTTCTGTTATTTAAAAAAATGGAACAATATAGAGTATTTAACAGGCAAAATGTGAACCCCACACTTACAAAGAGGATGCACCCCAGCCATCTGGGCTTCCGGGAAAGTCATCAGTGAACTCTTCGTGCCTCTGTCTCCTGCCCCCATTTTCATCTTTCTATTTCTCTGCTCCCATGCATATGACCAGCCCTCCTCTCTTCAAACACTCTTCCCCAGAGTGGGCTGGCACTGAGCCCTGGTTCTACCCTGAACTCCCAGAAGACTTGATTTCAGGTTTGGCTCTTTTCCCCTCACCTCGATATAAACCACCTCTCCCCAACAGGCCCACCCTTCTGGGCCCCGCTGTCCTCTGCATTCATATCTGCTCCTGCACCTTCTACTACTTTCTTTATGCTGACGAGTCCCATGTCTACAGTCCAGGTCATATCCTGAGTTTCAATTTTCACATTTTCAACTGCTCCCTGGAGAACACATGAATATCCATGCACCACCAGCAAAGTTGAATGCAGCTTCCACCCGCGGTCCCTCCTGCCTTGTCTGACTCTTAATGGGGTCAGGTCCCAGGCTAGGCTAATCACAGTTATCCTTAATTCCTCTTCTTCCACGTCTCTCCTCTTCCAAGCAGGTCCCACCTCTGTTCCAATCTTGCTCTTCCCAGCCTAGTGCAGCTTTTATTAACTCTGCGATGACTGTCAGAATAACTTCTGAACCTCTCAAAAATAACGCTTCCAAACTGCAGTTTCTCTTCTTTTAAAATCAAGCTGATAAGCACAGAGTGGATTAATTGTCCTATCACACACATCTGAAACGGTTCAAAGAGTGTAATAACGGAGGAAACATTTCACACTACCTGAGTTTAATCTGGGGTTCCAGACCCAGAGTTTAACCCTCTCTCTGTTTGCTTTAATTGCATACAACTGAAACCATTCAGCATTTACTGCTTCTCCTTCATACTCTGCTCTGTACCACCTCTGAGACTTTGTTAAGAATGTTCCAGCTGTCCTGTCCGTATTGCTCCCCATCAGCCACCATCTTTGCATCTTGACTTCTGGCTAGAAACCTCAAACTCCACTTCCTTTGCAAGATCCTCTGCATGACTCACATCCCACATCCCATGCAGATTCTCATTCCTCCGAGCATTTGAGCTTGATTTTTTTTATGGCAATTGACATATTATAATGTTTTAATTTTTTTCACATTTGTGGTCAAACATCAAGTGTAATTCATATTTTATTATCAGAAACATTCACTATTGCACCTTGCACACAGCCAGCACTCAAGAAGTATTTGCTAGAATTCTGAATAAAGGAATCATTTTTTCCCTAGAATTTGCTTGATGACCATCATGCTACTATACTCACTTTTCCAGTTAAAAATAATAGTGAACAAAATTAATTCTCAAACAAAAAGCGACATTTTGTGAGTGATAGTGTCTTGTTTTATCATGAGTAATCCACAGACTTCCAAGTTCGGTTGACAGGGAAACAAAGGATATTTTAAGACCTACACATTTCTGAGAGGGCATCAAATCTCATCTTGCAGAATCAAGCTCTCCTTTTGAATTTCTACTTCTGATTTCTGAATTTAATAAATAACAGGGCTGTGGATGGTAGGTACAGTTACAGCAAGCTGGGGAGTGAAACCAGTCTTCAGTGGAATTATAACAAGGTTTAAAACAGTTAATGTTGGAAGGACAAGCAAAGCTCTAACTCATAGCTCCAGTCTATGAAATTTATCAGAGTATGCATGCCACAGCTTAGAATCTCTTTCAAAACTTGGCTAAAATGAAGTGTCATGTTAACCTATACTTTTCTGAACCCAAACCAGTTCCAAATGTTTGAAGAAAATACTTTAATTAGATAGCAGCCATCTAGCCCAATTATTTCCATATGACAGGATGAGGATTTGCTCTGAAATCTTTCTGAATAGATGGATTTCAGAAAGAAACGGAAACAGAGAAAAATGCCTTTCCTTTGGTTGAAAAGCAACCACGAGGACTTGCATTCCACAAGGAATTCCAGTCCTCTACCACTTGCTAAAATATTTCCTACTGGCACTGCCACTTTCCACTCCTGAGGTGGACAGAGGAAAGTGGGCCGGAAGAGAAGAAATTATTTTAAGAATGATTTGAGTACAGATAGCTGGGGAGTGGGCAGGGGCTGGGCTTCTGTGTGAGCCTGCTCTGTAAGGAAAGTGGACTAGCCAGGAAGAAGATGCAGGGTAGCTGACCAGTGAAAAACTTCATAGAAAATGAGAGCCAGAGCAGTTCAGAAATAAAGAAGAGAACAGGAGGAGTGAGGGAGTCACCAGTTTCTGTAGGGAGTCTTACCTGGCCAAGACTCCCACAAGTCACCGAACGGGTTGACTCCTTCAATAGGATTCATGATATTCAATGCTGGACAAGAGCCTTGATTATCTCTCAGGGCCCCAAACTACAGCTCAAGGGAAAAGCAAAGGTGAACACATTCAGTCACTGCTTTCAGAGTTTAAAACCTCATGAAAGAGCTGGTGCCCCTATGTAGAACGGAATGAGCTGACTCCTGGGATGGAAGTTTCGTCAGGAAGGACCCTCCCAGCAGGCTCCATGTAGGAGGCAGTGTCTTCACACTTATCACAGTGGACAGTCAAGCTGGCATCTTTTCCAGCATGGTCCAGGGAAGGAACGCAAGCTGGACAGGGGGATGCACCATCGCTAAATGCTTGGCTTTCACGCTCATGTGCAGTGGAGTTGGAGTATGATGTGAATACTGTTGTCATCAGTTTGGGAAAATCAATCTCAATCAGTAGATGAAAGCAGTAGTGAAGGAGATATTGGGGAACCACACAAGGATACAGAGGCAGCTTCACTGAAACCTAGAGAAACCATGAAATCGGAGTGAGTCTGTCCTCGGCCTTTATCTTTACACTGCAGTGCCAGTTGGTAGAAGTGCTCAGCATACGCAAAACCTGCCAAAATCTCTTCTATTATTTATGCTATGGAGCTACACGGCCTCCATCTTACATACGGTTCTATCCTTGCTTTATTTTGTGTGTTTTGGTGGTGGGGGTTGTAGTAAACTAGCTTCCTCCTTGCAACAAGGCACAGCAAACTTCTACATTTTAAGAAGGAAAATAGCGGGGGGTGCTGTGGCACACACCTGTAATCCTAGCACTGCAAGGCTGGGTCAGGAGGACTGCTGTGAGATCAAGGCCATCCTGGGCTACAAAGGGAGTTCAAGGCTAGTCTGAACTACATAGTGAAACCCTGTCTCAAAAAAAAGAAGAAGAAAATAATAAAAATAGGATTAGCTATCCCATACTTCCTATGGTCAGGTACTGATCTAAGTGCTTTAGGTGTAAAAACATTCTCACAATAACCCAGGAGGTGGATCTAATAATGTGAGTCCCTGTTTTGCAGATGAGAAAGTTGAGGCTCTGAGTTTAGGTAACTTACTGCGGGTCACACAGCTGGGGTGGGTGGGGGCTGATTCCTGACCCGTGTTCTGACTCAGTCTATGAAAGTGTGGGATGGGCCTGCTTATTTTCTTCCACTAGAGGTTTTCTTTTTCTGTCTTTTTTCTTCTTCTTATTCCTATTTTCTTCCACTAGAGGTTTTCTTTTTCTGTCTTTTTTCTTCTTATTATTCCTATTTCAGTCATACCCTCCAGAATGCTTTTCTGCCTTTAAAACTTCCATTTCTCAAATTAGCATGACCATCTGAGAAAAGCCACAGAATGTGCATAAGACTGCAGGTCTAACTTTGGGGAAGCAGCTGGTCTCGCACATCTGTCTAAATCCCTTTCGGCACCCGCAGATGCAACAGGAAGGTCACTCAACCCTTCCACTCTCTCCCTCTTTGCTATCACCCTTGGCAGGAAGAGAGAGGACTCATTTCCTTCCCAATCCAACTGGAGAGTTTCACAACACCGCGTGTCATCTTGTTAACTTGGGCAGAGTCTGCACTTACCAACCTCTTTGGATCCTGAATCTGCTTTCCATACCCTGTGTTGTGTTTCCCAGTCTCTGTTACTCTGCATATATTGTAAACCTGACCTCCAACACTGCACCCAGGCTTCTGGAAGCTGAAGAAGGCACTGAGCAAAGCCTTGTGCTGTTCTATTCCAGACAGCCTCCTTGGTTTACCAGTGTAATCACACGTACTCTGATACTACCTAACCCTTCCCCCATACACTGGCTGAGTGTATGGGATATAATAAATGCTCAGGAAGTATCTGTTGACCAGAAACTGACGTGATGAATATTGGAACATGATTGAAATGTCTGAGGCATTAGGGACACAAAGCTAATAAAACTCGGTCCCTGATTTCAATCTACTGTTTACCAGTGTAATTCACTGTTTACCAGTTCATGTATTCATTCATGCAATTCTAAAAACAGATACCCTGCATTGCAGTAAGAGGGCTCCACATAGGTTTCCTGGCCTCGAGAAGAGAGTGAACAGTGTGTGTCTCTTTCATGGGGTCGTTCAACTAGCTATAAGTAAACCTCACTGGGAAGTAAGGAACACTGCATATTTCCATATTCTCCAAAAGACGCTAGGATTTTTGTCAAGAGTCAAGTTAGGAAAAGAAATATTGTATGTATTCTAACTTTTGGGTAGCCATCGATCATCTGTTTTTCCATTGCTGGAGCTCATAAATCAGCCACAATTTGACCAGCAAGATGCATCACGATCACCAGTTTAAAATCCACAAAATCCACCTTCTACCCCACTGTACGAAGCACGACTGGTGGGCTTTCTCCAGGCCTTTGCTCTCCTGTAAGAACCAGAGATTCACTGTGGATCTCAATGCCATTTTTCTTGCTATAGAGAGATGCAGACTCTTGCGTTCACCCATGTGCTCTGATACTGCCTAACCCTTATGCTTGTTTATTCTATGCTTCCAGCAAAACCTCTGCCCCCTCCATGGAGAAGATTCCTGATTTGCGCACCATGTGTAACACTACACCATGCATAGTCTGCTCTAATGTCAGGGCTATCCTCTCCTCTTTTCATTCTGCTAGTGATTTTCAAGGCCTCATTGCTGTCTCTCACCCTTTTTATAGGCCTAAGTACGTTCTGGAATGTGCTTTTCTTGGTCCTAATCCATATAGCTTTTCAGAATTCTCATCTTCCTAGAAATGTATTCCTGTACATTTATCATCTCCCTTGACCACTATTCTGGCCTCACTGCAAGACTAGCAGATACCAGACGTGGTTCTCTACGCATACACACACTTACACGTGAGACAACAATAATTAAGCAGACCTGCAAAGCTGAGAGACTCTAGAAGTCTTTAAACTCAGATATTCCTTTTAGACAACTAAGGAGCTGGAATGTTGTCTAAGATCAGTCACTGAATTAGCAGAAACAACAGAGTGAGAACTGAGCTTCTCAGACTCTCAGCCCAGTGTCCATTCTCGGCTATACGATCCTTTTTCACTCGTTTTCTACATAAGCGCAGTGCCTGGCCGAGTGTATGTGATGTAATAAACGCTCAGTAAGTATCTGTTGACCAGAAACTGGTGTGATGAATATTTGAACACGATTGAAATGTCTGAGGCATTAGGGACACAAAGCTAATAAAACTTGGTCCCTGATTTCAACAATTATGGAGTCTGGTGGGAAAGCAGTCAAAGTAAATATTTATAATGAAACTGACTAACAGCTAGGATGGATTTCTGGGAATACCTCTTGGAAATCTCTTCCACAGTATCTGGAAGAAAAAGGAGCAGTTTCCAAGAAGCAGTGATAGGCCATGGAGACTTGGGCCAATAGCTGGAGTCTGTAATGCAACAGATTTTAACTGATCCTTGCTCCTGACTGTCCTTACCCTTTGATTTTCATCATCTTCTCACTTGTAGTGTGCCTACTGTTTTTATATAATCAACACTAGCCTATTAAATTATTTGAATTTTTATCTTTATTCAGAGATTTGAAACCTCACCAGAATGCAAGACTTCATCCAAAGGAAGTAAAAATTAATCTATGCCTCAGGACCAAACAAAAACATTATATAAGACTCCATGTGGTATCCACAAATGTGACAGATGGAAATATTTTCCGTTCAAGCTACAACAGTTTTAGGACTTTCTTCCCAGTGGAAACATTTTAAACTTTCAGAATAGGATTTTGAACCTGTATCCTTATTAGAGTTGAAAGAGAAAATTCCTATGAATAATAAATAGTTTAATCATAGGAACTTCAAAAATGACAAGAATAGAAACAATCTTTTAAAGGGTAGCACAATGGTTTGGACACTGCAACAAGAAAGACAGGTGCCCACATCCTTTCTTCACCCCATGCAACCTTGGACAAACTGTTTTACACATTTATTTCAGTTCCTCCATCTATAAATGGCAGAGGCTTTTAAAAATATACAATATAAAGCCAAGCATGATGGTGCGTACCTGTGACCCCAGCACTCAGGAGGCTGAGGCAGGAGGATCACTGCAAATTTGAGGCCAGGCTGCACTATCAAGTGTGGTCAAAACTAGCCTGAACTACATAGCGAGGCCCTGTCTCAAAAAACAAAAAACAAAACAAAACAAATAAAATAGAATACACAGTATATAGTACACCGGTGGCAGAAGACCTGAGGATCTTAAACATATACACCACTTAATAATTGTACTTGAATAACTAATCAAACTCTTATAACCTCATTTTACTCATCTGTAAAATGGGGATAGGAACAACACTCGCAGCACTGTTGTGAAGCAACAGAAACACCGAAGACAAAGTGCAGCTCTGTGTCTGGTAATTAATGTCTGTGTTAGTGACGTCAGCTGTGACTGATTATAAGGTGTTTTTTAAGGAAAAAATGAAGTAACGTGTTTCCGACAGTCTTGACTGTAAAAAGTTCTCAGCAACCAGTGGGTGTTGTTAACTCCTCATTGTTCATATCATTAACTCTTTCATTGCTCAAGTAAGGCAAACCAGAAATACATTTGAGCTGGAGACGCAGCTCAGTGGCAGAGCACTTGCCTACCATGTGCAAGGCCATGGGTTTGATCCCTTGCACCCAATCCATCTATGAATACACATATATTGATACATTAAATTAAGTAATTCATAATGGTTCTCTGTGCCTGACGAGGAAGTGATCACTGAAAATTTGTCCATGGATTTAGAGTGAAAAATTGAATGGAAAGCCAGGCATGGTGGTGCATTTCTGTCATCCCAGAACTTTCGAGTACAGCCTGAGCAATTTAACGAATTAGCAAGACTCTGCCTATAAGTAAATAAATAAATACATAAATAAATAGGTGCTGGGGATATATAGTTCCGTGCAAAGGCCCTGGGTTCAATCCCCAGCACAAAATGTATCTGGATGGAGAAAGTGCATGTTAGTGGCAGAAATAGTAATACAATTTGATAGTTGCAAATTGAGTTGCCATAAGAGATACATTATAGAAAGAATAAAGCACAGTTTACTTTTTAAATTCAACCTATTTTATTTCTTCAGAACTGCAGATGTCTTAAGACATAATAACCATAATAAAAACAAGGTAGGAAAACCCAGACCAATGCATGTAATGTTTTATGTATCTTAATAATGCAACTGGATCAAACGAATGAGTGCTCTGATCAGTTCTGCAAGCATAATTCTGTTGCCACTGGGATACTTAGGAATAAAACCGTAAAAAAAGAGGAATAGGCAGCCCGAGGATAGGAGGCCTGGGGACATGTCATAAGGGTGATCTAATGTAAAAATTTTTAAATTTGCAAAATGTTAATTCTGTGGCAGGAGGTTTATGTACAGTATGAAAATCTTTGTTAGTCTTCCTTTGGAGAGAATGGTTTCTTAATATTCAGTATAGCCTTATATTCCTATGAGTGTTAGGGCAAAGAAGAAATACTCAAAAGTCTAGGTAATTAGCAGAATGATTCTCAGGTCATTAGATATAACTTTATGGGCAAGCTCATCCTGAGCACGCAGACAGTGCTGGAAACAGACAAAGCACTTGGAGATCTGTACATGTTCACTGTGAGTAATGCCCTCAAACCTGCCAGCCTGGAACACTGTAAAATATGGGCTCAAACCAATCATGAGCTATGCAACAATGACATGGAACAACTGCTCTCCAAGGACTAAAAGCCATGAAGCCCTGAACACAGAAGTCTCCAGAAGAGCAAATAACAGATCCATAATGAGCTCAGAAAACACCCTGCTGGGACCCTGTGGGAGACGTTTTCTGCAGGAACAGAAGAAATTAGGAGCCTATTTTCCCCAAAGTAGAAATATGCTTCCCACCCTGCATCACAACTTTTCAAATCTGGACATGCTCTTAACAGTAACTGTCACATTCCCCACAGGAAGGCCACTCACCCTGGTGCAAAGAAGCTACTGCTAAAGAAGTCTGTGATTTATCAAAATGAGGGATATTAGCTGAGATGTCCGAGATAAAGAGTTGAGGCATAAAAAAATCACATTTGGACTTTTTAACTAAGCCCCCTGTACTACAGAAGAACACACGGTACCTCACTTAGAGAGAAGGTGACTGCATTTTTGCAGACAACATTGGAAAGCGATACTCTAATAAGTATTGATACTCTTCACAATGATTTTATTCCTGAAAAATACTGAACATACTGTTGACATCGTGGGGGACCAGGCAATAAGTTGAAGGCCAAGAGTACTTTCAACTACAGTTGCTCCACTTACTATCGAATGCCTGTGTAAGTATCCCAGTTCTGCAAGCAACACATCTGTGTCGATACTGTTAAAGGTGCTGAAGGTCTTATACTCTTCTCTGCTGCAAAGAGGAAACCATCCGTCAGCAGAACAAAATCCACCATCTGATTACCACTGAGTTGTGCCATCTTTTATTCCACAGTACCATGCTGTTCATTAAATTTCTTAGGACATTTTCTAGCCTTTGGAAGCTCAATTAATAATAAAGCCTTTTAAAAATCCCCATAAAAACCACTGAACCACTAGGAAATGGTTCAAATTATACAATTTCTACTGGAGAATTTTAACCCCTCTGCATCCCATAAAGAAAATCAAAGCAGAATTGCCCATAAAGCATGGTGCAGAGAGGTACAGAGTGGGGCCTTGGGAGGGAAGGTTAGACTAAATTCCCCATCGTTCACAAAAAGGACCAATCTTTTAGGTTTAGAAATACAAAAGCCCTTTAGTATTTAAGGGAAATATTTCATGAGTACAGTTACCAGAAAAATCTCACTGGTAAAAACCCAATGGTGAACGTATTGGAGAAAAGAAAAGACAACACAAGACAAGACAAGAAAAGGAAAAAAAAAGAAAATAGGGAGGCTGTGGAGTGCAAGTCACTATCTCTGTTTTCATTTTCTTTCTCTTTTTCTTCAAGTACACGTTAGCAGCAGCAAGGTGAATTGAGGGAAATGCACATTTTTAGAGTTCCCATTCTAGAAAAGTATTTGTCCAAAATATTTTGTCTCTTATTTATTTGAAAGCTACTTGCCATACACTGAATTTGTGTCCCCGAGCCCAAATTCATACATTGAAATCCTAGTTCTCAAGGTGGGGGTTTAGAATGGAAGAGCCCTTATGATGAGAATTAGTTATTATTTATTAGTTTTGTGTTGCTACAAACCTGAGCCTGGGTAATTTATAAAGAAGGGGCATTTGTTATTGCATTTCTACGGGCTGAGTCGCCCACGACCAAGGTGTTGTATCTTGCTGCATCCTGACCAGGCAGCAGAGATCACACACTAACTCAGGTCTTTCCTCCTCTTCTTACAAAGCCACAAGTCCCATGAACTCATTTAACCCCAGGTACTGTGATGTCCCTACTTTAAAATACCAGCAGCCTTTGCACTTAGGAATTAAGTTTCTAGCACATGCATCTCTGCTATACATGTTTAAACCATAACATCGTATATGAGAGACCCCAAGGTGCCCCTCACCCATGGTACCATGTGAAGACCCAACGAGACCACAGAATCTATGAACCAGGCAGCAGGCTCATGAGTTACTGGACCTGCTGGTGCCTGACTATCAGCTCCCAGCTTCCAGAACTGTGCATGTAAATTCTTGTTTTTATCCATAAAATCTACATTATTTTGTTACAGAAAAAAAAAACAAAAACAAAAACCCAGCAGTACAAGGTAGAGCAGTTTACCTGAGCTATAGCCTCCCTAGTTTATCTTCTGAGAGGTAAGCATGAGGTTGGATTTCTTGTAGGTATTTTCAGAGCATCTTCTGGCTTTTTTCTTTCTGTTTTAGAACAGATTTACACAGGCTCTTTATATATTGAGAAAGTCAGCCTTCTCATAAAGAAATATCTGGAAAATGCTTAAATTTTTAAAACGTTTTTATTGTATCTTTTAGCCTACAGAAAATTTCAGTTTTATGTGGTTAACCTTATAATCTCCTCAGGTTCACGGATAGCTTTAAGTAATCATTGAAAACACTTTCTGCAATCTAAAATTATTTATGAGAAATCTGTTTCCTTTCAGCAATTTTAGATTTAATGCTTTGCATCTGGAATTTCTTTTCTTGTAAGATTCAAAGTAGAGATTTAACTGCTATTCAGAGATAATCAATCTTGCTTCCCTTAGTTTGAAATACCTTTGTAACATCATTAATTTCATATATTGGTACTTGATAACACATCTACTATGCATTTGGGTCAATATAAAGACTTACCACTCTGTTATATTAATGTGTCTCTGACAGACCTAAATTGATATTACTTTAGCATTGTACTACATACTTGAATATCTGGTAAGACTAATCTATTCTAACTATGACTCTTTGTCAAAAGTTCTTGTCTATTTTTATATTGTTTATGCTACAAATGAACTTTAGAATGTGATTTTTAAAAATCTTTTCACTAATTTTTATTGGGATCGTAGCAAATCCATTCCTAAATATAGGAAGAACTGACATTATACTGTTGCAGTAGTTTATTTAAAAGAAGTTTTACTTTATGTCATAGTTTTTTAACAAAGAATTTTCTCATTTCTTATTCCCCTTATTCTTGAGTACTGTCATTACACCCTGGCATGCTTTCTTTCACTATCATTTCTATCCTCAAGGGATTGGTTGGATGTCTGATTTTGTGCACTAATTTTGTACTAAGCTACTTCAGTAAACTTGATAAAGTTTTAAAAGTATTTATTCTTACAGGTCCTGTAAATGCAGTTATAGCACCAACATTTTGGCCTCTCATTTTCCCATTTTAAACCTACAAGTTCTTCTTTCCCACCGTGTCACTCAGGAACACCAGCACAAAGGCAGGCAACAGGAAAACGCGGGCATGCTGGCCTCACTTTTGGAGCCTCTACTGCTCCACTGCAGAAGAGGAACTCGTCACTGCCCGTTCGATGAAGAGTTTCTACCTAGAATCCTAGGGAATAAAATTCATTGCCTCAGAGTCGCTGCTGGGGAGGAAGCACTTCTGGAGAAGAAGACAGAGTAGGTGAGAAGAGGAGAAAAGAATTAGGGAAAAAAGAAAGTGGAGGGTAAAGTCAGAAGAAGAAAGTTCCACAGGGGAGAAAATGATGATTTATTAATAACAATGTTAAATAGCTGGAAGCATGAATAATAATTGTATGATTTCTTAAATGTCCTTATTTCTTTCCACCTCTTTAAAAAACATTTATGTAGAGACAGGAATTTTTCTCCTGGGATTGTTCGGACTACTGAATCATTTACCAAGTATATGAGCACAAAGGGAAAAAAATGAGAGGAAATGATTGGACAGAAAGCTCAGACTTTAAGGAAAACCTAACATAAAAGTAACGGACGAAAGAAGCCACGTTTCTAAAATCATCAGACATGCATGTTACCACTTTTTACAAGTGTAGTTTTGGATTAGGCTCAAAATATTTTTAAGTTCAAATATCTGCTATACTTTATAATGGTTTATTTCACTGGTGATTTCCCATGAAAGGTGGAAATCCTAGAGAAAAGTGGACAGAAGACATGCGTAGCCAAAGTGTAAGATAAAACATCGATATCCAGCTCACAAATGATAAAAGAGTAATGAGCAAAGTATTTCAAACTAAAAAAAACTTCAGGAGTAAAAATATAACTTCACTAATTGACAAATGTGAGACAAGAGGGATTAATTTTGCCCACTATTAAAAGGGGATAAAGTAAGCTCTCATAAACTATCAATGAGAGGACAAAATAATAAGAGCTTTTGACGTTAATTGGAGAATGATTTTCTCAGGTTGAAACACTCATTCCCTTTCTCTACTATAAGAAACTCAAAATATACAGAGTAGAATAAAAGCTAACAGGAAGTAGGGGGTTAGACCTTTCTTAAATCGGAAGGGGACTAAGAGAGGGAGGAAGAGGGACGGAGGCGACAGGAAGGGATGAAAAAAGGAAGATGTGTTGTGTACGCGCCCCAGCTTCACACAAAGAATGCAAAATCATGCACTACGAACATGTACCAATAAGAAATATTTTTAAATATTAAAAGAAAAGAATAAAGTCATTTTATGTTTTTTTAAAAGAAACAACCATTTCCTTTTTTCGTTCTACAAATACCTCCTTTAGAAAGAGACCGACCAGACCGATACACATAACGTGGGTGAAGATGTTCAGTGCAGCCTATAGCAGTAATGGTTACACAGCAGAAGCAATGTAAATGCCCAGCATCCAAAGTCTGGCTACATCAGTAATGCTGGTGTATAGTGGACTATTACACTGAGACTTAAAAGGAGTAATATATTCGAAGAAGGAAAATGTCCACATCATATTTTGTAAGATTTCCAAAGAGATCTAGAGCGTAAGTTTCCATTGATGCAAAGCATGCAGAGTGTGCTCAGATATACACTAAGATAATCTGGAGGCTAACATCAAACTTAACTAGGCTGATGCTTAAAGAGAGGATTGTCAGTGGTAGGTCTCAGAACACCCGCTCTATAGCATATAACTGTACTACTGACCTACTGGCAAGGAATGTGCACTGTTTTAAATTCATTTCCACCTTGAAATGGTAGTGAAATCCAGGGCAAAAGGAAAAGGATATTGAAGGCTGGACAATAAGGGTAAAAAGACAGCTCAAATTAGCCCATACTTGGAGACTCAGGTGTGCTTGCTAACTTAAGAACAAGAGTAGTGCAGCCCTGGAGGCACGAATTCAAGATTAGAGGAAATAGGCAATGGCTGAAGTCAGTAACCGGATTCCTAGCCAAGTCACATAAGCACAGGAGAGAAAGACTAACTCATAGTATACCGTAGTTGAAACACAGAAAACAATTGTGCCCACTTAGCAACACCTGCAGTTGTTGGCTGTAAGGTGAAATCAAGAACACTCTGAGAACTGGTTTCAGCCTTTGAGATGTTGATGATGTGGAGTCTGCCTAAGGCTAGTGGTGGGCGATGCACACAGGAAGCGTGAGCTCCTCCTCTGGGAGACTGGCTGCCTTGCCCTGGGTCTTCCGGACTTGTTCAAAGGCTCCTTCCTGGTCTCCACAGGGGGTGCTGCTTATTTTCTCACTCCAAGAGAAGTCCTCGCTGTTTTCTTGTCTTCCTTTGTGCCAGTCTGTCCAGGAACGTCTGCAGCTCTAACCTTACAACTCTGATTCACAGATGGAAACAGGCTTGATTTTGCGCACACCCTGTAGTTTCAGAATGGTGATTCTAGAGCCTGCATGCAGCCACAGACCCAAGACAGAGGCCTCAGTTTTGAGTGGGGCCTCGAGGTTCTTCCACTTCACCTGACTTGTACCCATCCTCTCACAGAGATGACAGAGCAAGATTGCACTGTATTCAGCCTTCATGTCCTGAAATGAAGTGAGCGTTC